CCACCGATCACCCATATGGTCCCTCCGACCATCGTCGCTCGCCGACTATGGTCCCTCCGACCTCTATCGCTTGCCGACTATGGTCCCTCCGGCCTCTATCGCTTGCCGACTATGGTCCCACCCACTTTTGTGTCCCGCTGACTACGATTCATTTGACCTTCGACCTCCGTCATCCTACCAACCAAATGAACTAGCAAACGTTCTTTTGAAAATAGCTCTCTTATCATTTGTTTCTTCCAACCCCAACTATGTAATGTGCTTTATGATACATTGAGCCAATACCTTCCCCTTGAGGATGATCACCATTTGTAATCGACTATAAACAATAGTGAAATAATTTTAATTTGGTCAGGCTCCATAGTTTTTCTCCCTTTCATTATTTTTCATATAAAAATCTTGTTATCTCTGACGAACATGCACCCATCTTTTTTATTTGTTGTGTGCTGTATCTTTATATAAAATTAGAATGCCAAACTCCATATTCCTCTTTCATCGTAAATGTTCCAGTCCGCAACAAGTGCCATTGAAATGCTCTTTTTTATACTAGTTTGTTAAAATTTAAATTCAGATAATTTGAATTTAATATTGAAACTTTTTTATTTAAATATTACATCCAAAATGGTGATTCATCAATGCATCTTTTAGCTATATATATATGATTTAATCATTAGAATATATATTTTGAAACATTTAGGTCAATTAAGACAATTTTATGTACATCATATTTATAAAAATTGAACTCAAGATCTCTTAATTAGTAGCCAAAACTCATAACTAATAAATCAAATTAAGTCTCATAATCATTGGAATATTATTTAAGTAAATATAAAATTCAAAAATGAATATACAAATATTCGTTTTGTAAAGTTTTTTCTACAATATCCTTAACAACTATGGGTGATAAAAGCGAACCTGGTTCCCAACGTTTAATTCGTATAAATAACTAAATAAGGCCAAGGTTTGGGCAAATTATTGGGTCAGGTGACCGAACGCAGAGATAGGTTCGGATAATAATAAAATATTATTTTAAAATTAGCGCAACTAAAGCGCAACTAAAGCGCAACTAAAGCGCAACCAAAGCGCAACCAAAGCGCAACCAAAGCGCAACTAAAGCGCAAGTCAAAAAGCGCAACCAAAGCGCAACCAAAGCGCAACCAAAGCGCAACTAAAGCGCAACCAAAGCGCAACTAAAGCGCAAGTCAAAAAGCGCAACTAAAGCGCAAGGTGACGCGGCAAATTTTTATTGGCTGTCCGAATTTATCTTTTGGCTCCGGTCACCTGACCCAATAATTTGCCCAAGGTTTGCCACTAGCCCTTGGCGCCGGGGAATTCCCATTTTCTTCGCTCTTTTGACTCATTGTGGAGAAACCTCAAATTGTATCTCTTGTACCTGACGGTCGGTTTCTTACTCCATCGATGCAGCCGGAGGTTGCACTGCATTTGCAAGACGATGAGCTCCTCGACGTCCTCACCAAGACCGGCGAGAAGACTGGGGTCTCCAAGCCAAGGCCCGATCCTTCTCTTATCGACCAGAGATTTTCTATTTGTCTACCTCATTAGTCTCGTTTTACGTTTTTCTTAAAAAACCCTGACTGAGCGATTGTTCATGATTTTGAGCAGGGGACTTGTGCACAGGGACGGAGATTACCACCGGGCTGTTCACGTGTGGATATACGCGGAGAGCACGCAGGAGCTGCTCCTTCAGCGTCGCGCGGATTGCAAGGACTCCTGGCCTGGACTGTGGGATATCTCCAGCGCCGGTCATATCTCTGCTGGTGACTCCTCACTCCTCACTGCCAGGTAGTTAGGCACCTCTGTCCTGCTATTTTAAAGCTATCAAATTGCTCCGGGAGGCAATTCTAATGTAAAAGATTGTCCAAATTTGAAGTAGACAATGTAGAATATCTTTTCGGATAGAACATACTTCAAAGTCAAAGTTGGGTTAAAATAGCTTACTTAATACACTCTCAGCCGGTAAAAGTGAGTTCACCTTACATGTTCATGTTTTTATAACATAATACCATTTTACGGATGCTTAGAAAATCGCACTACTAAATTTTCCTGTAGAATTTTTGAGTAACCTAACATTGAAGTTGTTAGCCAAATTTGGGTTAATCTGATACTTTTATTACGTCAATATTTGATGCAAACCAATTCTTATAATTGTTGAAAAAATAAGCAAAAGTGGCAGGAAGAAGGGTTTATGTGAAATTTAGTTTTGTTTTATGAGTACTTCAGAGATCTTTCGATAAATATTTTTGAAAATACGACTGACTTTTTGAAAATAGAGATTTTTGTTTTTATCTACGTATTACTAAAACTGAAGTTAGAGAGACTTTAAAGAAAATGAAGTGTGGGAAAATTGTTGGGCCTAATGATATTCCAATAGATGTATTGAAATGTTTAGGAGATGAAGGAATTTCTTGGCGTACTAAATTTTTAATATTATTTTGAAGACTAAAAAGATGCCACATGTGTGGAGAATGAGAGTGTTGATTCCTATCTTTAAGAATAAATGTGATGCACAAGATGTGCAAATTATAAAGGAATTAAGTTGATGTGTCATACTTTAAAACTATGGGAGAGAGTTATGGAGCATATGTTACGACTTGATACTAATGTTTTTCAAAATCAATTTGGATTCATGCCGGGTAGGTCTACTATGAAAGCCATACATTTATTGAGAGATTTGGTGGAGAAGTAAAGAGAGAAAAAGGAAGATCTTCATATGATATTTATTGATTTAGAGAAATCATATGATAAAGTTTCAAGAGAAGTGCTATGGAGAGTTCTAAAAAGAAATGGATTAATAATGCTTATATTCAAGTCATTAGGGATATGTATGCTGAAGCTGTTACTTGTGTTCAAACACAAGGTAGTTTGACCAAGTATTTTCCAATTTTAGCGGGATTACATCAGTATCAGCCTTAGCCCATTTGTTTTTTGCTTTAGTCAAGGATGTTCTTACTAGAGATTTGTAAGAGGATGTTCCGTGGTGTATGCTTTTTGCTGACGATATTCTTCTTGTTGAAAAGACTAAAGAGGGAGTTGAAGATAAACTTGAATTATAAAGATCAACCTTAGAGTCTAAAGGTTTCGTTTGAGTATATCTAAAATCGAATACATGGAGTGTAATTTTAGTAGTAATAGATATAGTGGGAGGTTTGTGACTTTGAGCAATCAAGTCATTAATAAGAGTACATGGTTTAGATATCTTGGGTCTAATGTTCAAAGTGATGTTGACTAGACTGAGATATTTTTAGTAGAATTCAAGTTGGATTGATGAAGTGGATGAATGCAATGGGCTTGTTGTGTGATAGAAATTTTTCACTCAAACTTGAGGGGAAATTCTATAAGATGGTGGTTAGACCTGCAATGCTTTATGGTGCAGAATGTTGTCCATTAAAAGAGAAGCATAATATTAAGTTAAGTGTTGTAGAGAGTATGATGCTCAGGTGGATGAGTGGTTACTCCTAGAGACAATATATAAAATGAGCATATAGATTAGAGAGAGTCGCCTTAGATGGTTTGGTCACATAAACAGTGGCCTTTTGATGACCCAATTAGGACAGTAGATGTATTAGATTTAACCTATGTTAAGAAAGGTAGAGATAAACCTAAAAAGATTTGGTTAGAAAAAACATTAGACATGACCTTTTTTTTTTATAAATTAAATGAGAATTTGACTTTTAACCGGACACAATGGAGAAAATAGATTCATGTAGCCAATCCCACATAGTTGGATAAAAGCTTGATGTTGTTGCTGTTGTTGTAGTACTTTAGAGATCATTTAAAGTAAAATATGTTTACAAAATGCTTTGGATTGATTGTGAGATGCATATTGGGATCTTCTCGATTTAAACATACCTGAGGTGGCATAAAAAGATTAGCATGAATTGATTTGTGTAACCTTGTATTTGGATGCAAAAAAGAAGCTTTTTATAAGAGAGTTATAAAAGAGGACTGCAACTGAAAAATAATATTCGATATTATAAGTTTATAGAATTACAAGCTGGAAAGCTCCAAACTTCAACCAATTTTATGAGAAAATTCTTGTAGTATAAGATACTTCGTTTGGTAGAATCAATCTTCTATTAGCACATGCTTCTATCCATATTTCAAAACCTAAAGGCAAATTTGGAAAGCTATAGAATTTTCCTCCCTCTTTTGGAGTCAAATTTGGAAAGCTACAATTATTCCTCCACTTATATTGGAATTACATTCGAACAAAACAAACTTGGTAATCAAGTATTTGCATTATTGGGAGGTATGCACCTATGTTTACTTACATGAGCATTAAATAAAGAGCTTGAGCTTATTGTTTATTGTTTACTTGAAAAATAATGTATGCAAGGGGTTTAAGTGCAAAAAGATATGCATATTAATGCCAAAAAGCTATAGATTATCCTTTGTTTGGGATATTATCTTAGATGGCTATTCATGTGGCTCACGGTGCTTTGTCATCTAAACAAATTATGACATCTTTTAGTGTTCATAGCTTGATAAATCAATTAATATTGTGATTCAAGTATGTTTTGTTTTTAGGTAGCTAAGATCCATATGCTCCACTTTGCTTTTGTTCATACTTGGGGGGATGATGCACGTGGAACCTCTTTTCAATCCTAGATGGATGTTGTTTTTAGGATATTTTAATATATTGGCCTATCATTGTGGTGAAAACTCTTACAATGCCTCAACGGGATAATTAATGCCTTGAAAGTTTTGTGTAGATAATTTATGTTTGCAATTAAGTAGGCAAAGTAGTTCCTTAATGAATGGGCCATCAAGGGTATTAAGGTGAGAATTAATGTGGTTTCAGGAGGGGGTAAAGAGCGAATAATGCTTAGGAGATTAATGATGATGAAAATAGCAAACTAGAAAATAACCTTAGGTTAGTGTTTCACTTTTTGTTAGCTTCTTAATCTTCTTCTCCTTCTCTTTCATGCTATTTTATCTTCCCTTATTGCCTTGCTTTCTAATATAATTATAATTACCCTCTTTCTATAGTTTTTGAGGAGTTTTCAAAGGGGGTATTTATTATGAATTTCATTGATAACTAAATTCCCAATGCCAGCTATATTTATGGATGAAAACTTGTTAAAAAAATTTAAACTCATAACCAAAACTAATTCATAAATCTAGGATAGCTTAGAGGATAATCCTCTTGAAAGGAAAGCTAATCCTATAAGGACTAAACACTGCTGTTGTCAGGTCCCAAGTCCTGGGTGAGAAAAGGAGAGGGCTGCGTTATGTAGTTGACAGCTAGCGTAAAACTTGTAAAATAATTATGACATAAATCCTTTAATACATTGTGTTAATGTTAAGACGTTCCTTAGAAATGACGCGTTGTATGGCCTGAATACAGTGAGAAGTGTGCAAGGTCTGTTGCATCGGTGCCTAGGTATAATGTTAAATAAACAAGGGTTTTCACATCATGGGCATATGTGGGCAAAAAAGCTAGTCCATGAAATTAGAATTATGATATGTACAAGCAAATTATGAAATTAATAATATTATAATTCATGGAAAGATAAATATTCTATGCATTCATGAAACTGTTAGACCGGTCCAGTCGGCCCAATCCATTGGGCTGGCTCGGTTCGTCTACAGGCGACGGGAAAGGGCAGAAAGAGGAGGAAAGCCGACGGAAGTTTGAGTTCTTTGGGTGGAGTCCACTTGTTTTTGAATTTGTATCTTGGAGCCAAAAGGTGTGGGAGCAAGGGCAATTAGGTCCTTTTATGTTATTTTTGAATTGTATGCATTAAGTAGGGAGAAAAGGAGAGATGAGGGTTATGTGTTATTTTGTAAGAGTTTGCTTGTTCTTCTTTGGTGGCTAGGGCTCTAGATCGAATTCTAGAGATTGGGAGAGTGCGATCCTCCTCTCGAATAGAGGATCCTTGTATCTTTGCTATTTTCCTTGCATCCACTAGTAAAATACAAGTTTTTTCTACAAGATTCTCTCAGTTTTTCTTCAGTTTTTCTTCAGTTTTCCGCTGTTTTTCACTGTTTTCCTGCTCGGGACAGCAGTTGCTTGGAGAGTTGTTGCAAGAAATGAATAGGAAATACTTGATTTCAAGTATTTCCTATCAGAAACTAAATGGGTTGGAAAGAAGGCCAAGGAGATTGATAGTTTAGGGTTAAACTATGACATTCAGGAAGGAGTCGTATTGAAAATGAGATAATTGTGATTATAGTTAAGAGTTTTAAGGATAATGTTGTAGAAATTAATAGAATTGAAGATAAAATCATAGTTTTAAAGATTTCTATTGATGCTAAGATTATTAATCATAAGTGCTTTTACTACTCAAGTAGGTTTGTATATGTGTTCAAAATTAAAATTTTGAAATGACTCAGAAAAATTAATACAAAAGATATCTCTTGAAGAAAGTGTTTTTATTGGAGGAGATTTAAGTGGTGATAGAAGATTTTAAAAGCATTCATGGTGGTTATTAGTTTGTAGCGACTAATGAAGGTGATATGACTATATTAGATTTTTCTCTAGCTTATAATTTTATAAATTTTTAACACCATGAATGTTCTTACTAGACATTTGTAAAAGGATGTACCCTGATGTAATATTTTTGCTGATGATATTCTTTTTGTTGAAACTTGTTAATTATGAATTAGGTTGTTAGACCTAAGCTTATGTCCCAAAAGGCTAACCAAGAGGGGGGTGAATTGGTAATTTAAAAAAAAATTCTTCCTCTTTTAATCCCATTAAATTTTTAGTGAAATTTTAAAAATGAATTTTCAACCATAGATAATAAAAAAACGGTAAAGTAAAAAACAACAAAAAATAA